AATAGAAAAGAAAAAGGAAAAAAAGACAGGTGAAAGCGAAAACAGACAGAGGAAGTGTGCTTATTTTTTGTGTTGAAATTTCAAAAACAAAATGAAATATTTCAAAAAGATTAATCAAATGCATTAAGAATATTATTAATCATTTTTTTTAACGTAAGAATAAACAGGCCAAGAATCACTTTACTATTAAACATTTTCATCAGTACAGGGCTAGTAGGATTCATGCTATATCAATACAGAACTGATGTCACGCATGTCATATCAGTATAGGACTTATAGGATACATGCTATATCAGTCCAGGACTGATAGCATTCATGCTACATTAGTACACGATTGATAAGAATCCTATTAGTATGCTATTAGAAAATTAAATTTGACAAAGTTAAGAGAATAGGACTGATAAATGACATGCAAGAAAAGGTACATGCTCAGTACAATTTTTTATCAATTCATTACTAGATATTTTTTTTTATCGCATTTTTTTTTTATATTCTTACCTGTACCCTATAGTCATCCGTTAATTTAATCTAAGCCAAGATTGCTGCCTAATTTTGCATATGTATCGATATTTTTGGTCATAAATAAATTAGCTGATTCTGGTATTCGGTTCCTTCCTTGATTTTTTCGAGTTAAAAAAAAGAAAAAAACAGTTAAGTGAGCAAGATTCAGAAACTCATTGATAAGATATGACAATATCATGGAAAGTTTACCTGCTTAACACTAGTCATTCATAAAGTACACTTTTGATATCTCGATGAACTCCGAAGCTTCTGGGACATATTTATATATAATCCTATAATGCCTAGAATAGCCATTCTCTATACTACTGAGTACGCATACTTATGTGAGCATGCTGCCCATAATATTAGAAAAGATACTTGAAGTTGAGGATGTGCCTGCAAAGGTAGATAGATGTCACTATGGTTTCTAAAGCGACGATCAATGACGTCGAATATCAGCGAGGTATTTTTCATAGATTCTTATATCGCAAATTTTATAATTATTTAAAACAAATTACAGAAAAATGATTAAAAATAAATTGATAGAGTGTATTGCTGGTTGGAATAACAAAATGCTTATTGTGGGATGAATGCGCCAATGTGACAAGAATGGACTTCTGGACCACAAATGGACTTCTTCACCAGTAAGTATACTATCATTGAATTCACTAAGTACGGCTGTTGAATTCTTTTAAGCAAATAATTCCTATGCCGAAGGTGACATGGAAATATTTCCGTCCGCAGGTTATCGTTTCTTTTTTTTTGTTATCTTTTCCCTCCACAAAAAAAAAAAAAAGCGGGATAGTTAACTGCCAGCCAGATTGCATAAATCTGGCTATTACCAACAAAATCTGTCTAATAGACATACCCAAAAATAAACCAATTATTTAAACCATTCTTAGACTTTTAGATTAAAGTAATAATTTATGAATGGTTAATGGGTAAAAGAAAAGAAAATTGTGGATTACTAGAAATTTTATTGAAATTTAAACATTTCTAGTAATTCATTATCAATATGAAATCAAAGATTACAGTATATCAATTTGATACAATGAAAGTTTTTTCTTTGATCATTTCAAGTATTTCGTTTTGTTTTTATCCAATAAATGTTTGGATATTTAATACTGGAATTTATTAAAACAAAATTGATGGAATTTTTTTGGTGCTATACACATTAAAGATAACTTAAAATAATACCATTGCATTTAACAGAACATACTATGATCCAATAATTCAAATAATTACCATTCAGATAGCACTGTGATCTTAATTAGCTTCAAAATTTCAGGTTGAATTCAACACATTCAATTAGTATCATTTTTAACAATCAGATTAATTATCATCGGAAATATTCAAAATATGGCTAATTAAACTACTTTTGGAAAAAAAAGGTTTAACATCGGAATATTAGCATAGTCTAGACTTTTGATTTATTTTCTCTTTTATCGTATTCAACTATTATACCGTCGGCATTTGTCAGTAAATGGCCCAGGAATTGGATAAACTGATCCAACAAAATTTTTGCCCTTCTGCATTAAACTGTAACTGGTGATGAAGAATGGACATTCGTTCAGTTGGAACTAAAAATGATGTCAAACTTTAATTTAATCGATCAATAAAACCTCAAATAATGTCGCAATTCATTGGTTAAATATTTGTCACAAATCACTTAACAATGCTAATTATTTAAAAGGATTAAAATTAT